ATGCTACATTCAACTTCTGTTTTCTAAGTGCAATTATTACATAAAATATTCCCTAGGTAAAGATTTTATGTTATCATTGATGTGTCCAGTCTTGAGTAGTATTTGCCTAGGATGACTGATACATGCCATAGCTTTTCTGCAGACTAATTAGTTTATTTTGTGGTGCTAACTCTCTAAAGAGTCCGATCCGCTGCTTACGGGAGGATCCACTGAATATTGTAAAAATATTTACTGAGCGCCTATTGCTGTGCCTGGAGCTAGTGGCCAAAGCACTTTTGGCCATTGTCCTTGGGAGTTTACACATAATTAGCTGATAGCATGAAAATGTGATAGGAATTATGACAAAGGATGTCAGAGAGTGAGGAGATCATATACAAAGGACCTTAGCTTTGTGCTTAGAACACAGATTGCTTCTCACAGGAAAGGTACTTGAGGCAGAAACAGACTGGTGAGAATAAAAACCTGGGTCTGAGATGATGGAGAGTTGAGTTTGGCTGATAAAATTATGGATGAAGAGAAATGGACTTGATTGAGGGATGGGTAAAAGACAGTCCTGGCAGTTTGTTATATAGAATATTAGACAAATGAAAAAAGCCAAGATTTTTGGCTTACAAAACTGAATGGAGAGGGGGTAATTCTGAGACACAACAATGGAGAAATCTATCATTTTGAGAAAAATGAGATGTTAGGAAGACTTGAAGGTGAAAATATCTAATGGCTAGGTACAAGATCTACAGCTTAGGTGAGACTCCGAACTTGCTTTGTGTTTGAATATCACCAATTTTGTCCTTCATTCAAAAAATGAGGGGCTTTCGGGATTAATTTGTTTGTTTTTATTGGTGATGGTTTTTACCATTATTTCTTCTGTTGTGACTTGGGTCATTGCTAGCTTATAATAGTCATGGAAAATATGAAAGTAGAGACTATTCAAAGAAAATGGTATAAATGGAAATGAACAAAGGCCATGGAATCTTGAAAACAATGATAGCTGAAAGACCGACTACTGACTTGAAAGAAGAGAACAGGTAAAGACATAGAAGCAGGAGCTACCAGTGTGGGAAAGGTACTGAGATCCAAGAAAATCACTAAGGAAGGAGTGTAGAGAAATTCATCAGCTTAAGCTTTGCTGACAGAACAGTATAGAGGAGCAATGCAAAGGCGTTAACCACACAGGTGCTCACAAGTGGATGGTTTGATTAGAGCATTCGGCGCTAAAGACACAGCACAGAGAAACAAAAACAGCTTGATAAGTGAAAATCACCAGCTTTTTTTGTTTTATTTTGATTTATTGGTTTGTTTTTTTTTTTTTTGGTCTGTTTTTGAGACAGGGTCTCCCTGTATCCCTCGCTGACCTTGAACACACTATGTAGACCAGGCTGGCCGTAAACTCACAGAGATCCTCTTCCTTCTCTCAGGAGTGCTGGGATTGAAGGCCCGACGACACCAGTTTTTTAAAAGTATTATTTTAGAGAAGTGGAAATTAATAAGCTGCAGGGCATGGCGGCCCAAGCCAGTTGGGGCTACAGGGAGACACTGTCTAAAAGGAAAACAAACAAATGTGATGCTGCTAACATGCATATTAGGAGGCCTGCATAATCACCACTGAGTAAAGTGGCAAAGGTTTCAGGTGGTTCTAAAGATAACTGTCTCATCTCAGAGTACTACTTGACATATAAACAATCCTACAGTCCTTGTTAATTCTACTTTTGAAAAATTAATTAATTTAAAAAAATTTTTGGTCTTTAACTTTTTAAAAAAAATTTATTGAATTTTTTGTGTATTTCATACAGAACATCTCAAGCAATCTTAATTTGACAGGGTCTCCCTGTAGCCCCAAATGGCCTGGAACTCACTATGTAGACCACACTGTCTTTGAACTCACAGCGATCCTCCTGCCTCTGCCTCCTCAAGTGCTGGGATTAAAGATGTGCACCACCATCCCTGGCCTAAATTTAATTTTTATTTTTAAAATATTTGTATTGATTGTTCGAGAAATTCAAGTATTGTGTTTTGATGGTCTCTAGACCTCTTCACCATGTAAACGCTCACCTTACTACCCACCACCCACACTTCACACATTGTTTTCATTTTTATTTTTTGTCTTTTTGATAGTGAGCCCAAGCCATTAACAGCTGCATCAGCAAAGTCTTCATTTTTATTTTTTAAAAAGTTCTATTGAGCATGCACAAGACTGTGCAAACACAAGTCAGGCAAAATCCCAGCATGGAGTTGGGAGGTGGACAAAAAACCCTAGCTGGGGGTCTATTGGCAATTGATAGCTGCTTGGAGAGGAGAGCCAGTCTTAAGACTTTAAGGGTATGACACCCGGTGGGGTCAGCAGACTCCAAGGGATGGATGGATCCCTACCCAAGACGTTTTGGGAAACAGAAATAAAACTTGCCAATTCTACTTTTAAAGAAAATAGATCTATCAGGAGGCCAGAATGGGCCCATGAAAGGGGAGGGGAGGGAAAAAGGCTTTAATGGTGGAAAGATATAATATAACACATTCAATATTAAATGAGGGGAGGATACTGAACATTAAAAGGTTTAAGAGGGGATGAGGGTGGAAGAGAGGGTGAGGAAAGAAAAGACTTTATCCAAACTAAGGATTTGTAAAAATGCCTTATGGAAACCCACTACTTTTTAAAGTAATTAAAACATATAATAAATTGACTGGAGAGATGGTTCAGTGGTTGAGAGCACTGACTGCATTGACCCAAGTTCAATTCCCAGCACCCACACGGCAGATAACAACCATCCCTAACTCTCAGTTCCAGGGAATCTAATATCCTCTTCTGACCTTCTCAGGCTTTTCATAACAAGGATGCATTTACACACATGCAGGCAATACATTCATACACATAATATAAAAATAATAAATAAAATATTAATATATAGTATTGAAAATGAAAAGAAATTTGAATGGAGGCATCCTACATGGATGGACAAAGCTGCCCCAAGAAGACATTTATTATTAAACGAAAATCTCAGTGCCAGGCATGGAATCCTCCCAATGAATTATTGGTCAGTGAAGCCCTAGAGGTCTCTAAAACAATATATTGCTAATGCTCTTGGTCACCTACCAGAACTGGATATAAGACCCTGTTGCTGAAGACACCATTTATTTTAGTAGCAGGATACAGAGAATTCAATCTGGAACTGATTGGAAAACTTCTTCTTGGATGATTACCTTTTATAGTGCCCAACACTCCTATGAAGGCCACTGTAGGACACAACCATTAATGGTCTTACCCAGCACTGAACCCTACCTACATGCTGCAATACTGACCTGCCAGGCACAGTGTACCCATTGGCACAATAGTGGCATCATAGTTATGGTGATAACCAACCACTTTATGGTTGGATTTGAGGTTTACTCCACAGGTGATAATTTATTTCTGATATTATAAACATGGTCAGGAGTCCATGACTTGGGAGGTCATAGGCCCTAAGGGCCTACTACTGGGCTTTTATTACGTGGTCAGGCTGTCAAACTACCTTCTAAATATTTGCTTATACCCATGGATTAGTGGTGTTCTCAACCTTGGACAAAGAAGCTTCTTTGTGCAGTGGTCGGGGACCCATGCTGTGCAGTACCCATGGAGGCCAGAAGATGGCGACTTATCCCCTGGAACTGGAGTTAAGGACGGTTGTTAGCTGTCATGTGGACACTGGGAATCGAACCAGGTCTCTGTAACAGCAGTCAGTGCTCTAGTGGTCTTAATCACTGAGTCATCTTTCCAGCCCCCTTCACACTCCAAATATTTTCTTAACCATTGAAAAGGAATACATATGCAGAAGACATTTCACTATATTTGTTTGTCTTAACTACTTAAGGCTATTATGCCGAGCACTTTTGTAGTCATGTTAAGACCACATGAAAGAAAGACCAAGGACTGAAACCAACATCCTGACAATTGGGGTCCAGACAGGTGAAAATAACCTGGCCCAGGGATGACTCAACTGGATCTCTAAAATAAATACCCCTTGGGTCTTCTTAACTCAAGAATTTGTGTCAGATGTCTTTATTTTGCTATTGCTTATCCTACTGGGAACTGGTTTTGGCTTTGCTCTGCTTACAGTAAAAACATATTAATACCAAATATCTTCCTATTAAAGTGAGCCATGTTGGTCAAAAGTACTTGCTCAACTTTTAGAAATAATATTTTGTCATTTCTGAAATATTACTTTCAAATATAAAATGAAAAATAAAAAAAATGTAAATGTCCTTACTTGAATACCAGCTCCCTCCGGCACTGTGATCTTCCATATACAATTCAAATTGTTGTCATAAGGCTCAGGATATCCAGGAGACAAAATAGTCCCTTTACGCTTGGTTAAAATTCCCCCACAAGGCACTGCAAGCAAAGCAGTATGAAAGCAAGTTAATTCTACTGCAAAAGATTGAAATAAAAGGTCAGAGATAACATCTCAAACACATTAATAGTCTTGCAAACAAAACCACATCATGTTATGTTTTAAAACTTCTTGTATGCCACAAAAATACCTAAACAAATGAATTAAATGGCATCAATGGATGAGTTTGCATTCACATATATAAAATTATAAGTCTAATTATATCATATAATTTGTATTATTTTTACCTATAACCTCATTGACTATATTTGCCACACACACACACACACACACACACACACACACACACACACACACACACGCACGTTAGATAGAGAATTTAAAACTATTATTTGAAGTTATTTGGTACTTTCTCTTCATGAATCCTTAGAGGGGTAATAGCATCCTCCTAAAATGAAGGATGATCATGGTAGTAATTATAACGTTCACACAGTCCACTCATATTACATGCTCAGTATTCTTCTAAGCACTTCTGTATTTTAACTCATTTAAGTCTCCAACTGTCTAAAGATATTTGAACAGTTTTTTTTTTTTTTTAATCCCTCCCAAACCTGAGGAAACAACATTATTAAGAGATTGAAAGATTTCAAAAATGAACCTAGCATTTTCATCCTGGGGTAGAACCAAAGTCCACATTCCTAAATGGGAGGAAGACATTTCATGAGATTATTACCAGTGTAACTAGTACAAGAATGAATAAGCATGTAAACCTACTGTGAAGTCTGCTAAGTCTTCTATCATTGTTAGAATTTAAGAGCTTCCCTTATTATTAATTTCAGCCGGATACTGGGCACTACCAAACTCATACTCCTATTTTTTTTTTTTTAATCTTAAAAAATATTTTATTGGGGCTGGAGAAATGGCTCAGTGGTTAAGAACACTGCCTGCTCTTGCAGAGGACCCGGGTTCAATTCCCAGCACCCACATGGCGGCTACAAACCGTCCTTAACTCCAGTGCCAGGGGAATCCGAAGTACTGTTCTGACCTCCGTGGCATTGCACAACATGGGTGCACTCACATACATGCAAGCAATACACTCATACACATAAAATAAAAATAAAATATTTTTAAAATTTTATTATTTTTGTTTTATGTGAATGTGTGTGTCTTGCCAGCATATATGTAAATGCACCTGTGCCATACAATGCCTGAAGAGGACAGAAGAGGCCATCAGATACCCTGGAAATGGTGTTTTGGGCACGTGTTAGCTGCCATGTGGATGCTAGGATTTCAACCCAGGTCTTCTGCAAGGACAGTTAGTGTTCTTAACCACTGAGCCATTTCTCAAGGCACCTAACTCACACCCTTAAATACTCTGTTGCTTTGGAATGTTTCTTTTTTTTTTTTTTTCCTTCTTTTTGGTCTTTTCGAGACAGAGTCTCCCTGTTGCTCCAGCTGGCCTGGATTCACTATGGAGACCAGGCTGGCCTCAAACTCACAGAGATCCACCTGCCTCTGCCTCCCAAGTGCTGGGATTAAAAGCAAATGTTTCTTAAACTCTTTGACATGCAGATGCTTCAATCTGTGCCATGGAAACACTATTGTTTCCCAAATGATTTTGTGAAAACATAAAAAGCATAATCTATATAAAGTAATTAGCTTGTCAATTAAAACAATAGTAAAGGATAAATTATATTTACTTTGGTTGCATGGTTATTATTTGGATATCAAGAGACTGTGCCGATTGGTCATTTTTCCTAGTTTGTCTATAACGGTAGCTTAAAAAATATGGGTGTATGTTTTTCTGATTGAAGGAGAGAAAGAGAGAGAGACACACACACACAGAGCAAGGGAGAGGGAGAGAGGGAGAGAGGGAGAGGGAGACAGAGAGAGGATACATTCTCTTATGTTAGGGTCAAAGCATGCACAGGAGGCCAGAGGGGGACTTTGAAGATCATGCTCTATCGGTGCCTCCTTCATTGTTTTGAGATAGAGTTTCTCACTGAATTAAAATTAGACTGGCAGCCAACAAGCCCCAGGATCTTTCTGTCTCTATTCCCCAAGCACTGAAGTTACAGGAAAGCACAAAGACATGCCTGGCTTTTCACATGGGTGCTAGGTCTCCATGACAAAGGTCTCCATGCTTGTTCAGCATTTATTCAGTCTTACTCATAAGTCATTTCTCTAGCCACATGTGTTTTGTTACAATGATTTTAAAGAAGTGGATTATAGTTTTATGCCACTTCTATAATGCAAAAAGCCATGATAATTACTTTTAAAAGGTACTACAGGGGCTAGAGTGATGGCTCAGTGGTTAAGAGCACTGACTCTCTTGCAGAGGACTCGGGTTTGATTCCTACCACCCACATGGCCACTACAAACCTTCCTTAACTCCAGTTCCAGGGGAATTCAAAGTCCTCTTCTGACCTCTGCAGCACTGCACGAATGGGTGCACTCACATATGTACAGGAAATACACTCATACAAATAAAATGAAAATAATAAACAAAATATATTTTTAAAAAGTACAATATTTTTAATACAGAGATGATTATTTTTTAGAGAAAATCATTTGTTGTAGGTTTTATTTTTATTTATTTATTTTTAGTATTTTAATTTATGTGTGTATGTGTGTGTACATGTGTGTGTAGGTGCCCTCAGAGACCAGAAGAGGTTGTCCAGATTACATTATTATAATACTTTGTGAGCCATCAGAGCACAATGCCCAGACTGAGCTATGGACCTCTGGAGGTGCAGCAAGTATTTTTAACCAAGAACCAGATCTCCAGTTTTTGTTCATTGTGTTTTCTTGTGCATACATTATGAGATTCAACCCAGATTCTGTTTATACTGGTGAGAAAATATGTATTACCATTAACAATGTAACAGCAATTGTCTTATATAGGTTGAAAATACTCTACTAGGACTGAAGAATTATGAAATTTTAAAAAATTACTCCAATAATAGAAGGAAAAAATGGTATAATAAAGCTTAGCTATCTTAGCCCCCTTTTCTTGGCTACCATGGTTAACAACATGCTTCCTCAGTGCTCTGACCTGATTTGTCTTTCCTTCAGCCCTCGAGCAGCTAACCTCTGGGCACTGAGTGCTATTGCTACCTGTTTAAACCCTTTTCTGACCCACTAGAGAGTGTCCCATCTTTTTCTGTACTACCAAATGTGTTCTTTCTTTTTTTAAAATATTTTATTATTTTTATTTTATGTGTATGAGTGTATTGCCAGCATGTATGTGAGTGCACCCGTGTTGTGCAATGCTGTGGAGGTCAGAAGAGGGCTTCAGATTTCCCCTGGAACTGGAGTTAAAGACACTTCATAGCCACCATGTGGGTGCTGGGAATCAAACCCGGGTCCTCTGCAAGAGCAGTCAGTGCTCCTAACCACTGAGCCATCTCTCCAGCCCTCAAATGTGTTCTTAGACAACTATTTTACTTTGTGCTTTCATGTTTTTCGTTTTTTTCGTTTTCTTTTGCTTTTGTTTTGTTTTGTTTTCTTTTTTTGTCTCTATAAAAAATCTGAAGTCTGAGACAATGAAGTTGTGGTGGTTTGAATGAAAATGTCCCTCATAGGCTCCAAGAATTTGGACATTTCATCCCCAGTTGGTGGCACTGTTTGGAGAGGTTTAGGTGGTGTGGCCTTGCTGGAGGAAGTACATCACTAGGGGTGGGCTTTGAGAATTCTTAAGCCTTGCCAGAGCTCAAGTCACTCTTGCATCCTATGCCAGCTTGAAGATGTGGTCCCTTGCCGCCCCTGCCATTATGAACTCTAACCCTCTGGAACCTTAAGTTCAAAATCAACTCTTTCTTCTATACGTTCCCTTGGTCATGATGTTTTATCATAGCAACAGAAAAGTAAGGTTCTAGGTCTAGCATGTCTTCTCTTTACATTATAGATTTTCTTCCATGCTACTTTGGTCACAAGCTATTCCCTCTCCCTTGATTTTTTTTCATCCACTTGGTCCATCTGACTTTTGTTCCCATCAGTCTATTGAAATGCCTTCGTCAAGGTCTCTGGGATTCTCTTGCTGTGGTATGATCAGTGCTTAATGTTTATTTTACTCAGCCATACGCAATGATCTGCCACTGAGCCTCCTTTACTAGGTCATCAGCATGCCACATTCTTTTAGTTCTCTTCTAAATCACTAACCACTTTCATTAATTTCTTTGGGTAACTGCATCCCTTCCTTCTGATCTGGTAAAAACCAAAATATTAGACTGGAAAAATAGCTCAGCAGTTAAGAACACTGGCTGCTCTTGCAGAGGTCCTGGGTTCAGTATGTAACTCCAGTTCCAGGGGATCTGATGCTCTCTTTTGGCCTCCACCAGTGTTGCATGCATGGGTGTACTGACATACATGCAGGCAAAACACTCATACACATAAAATAAAATTAAAAAATAAATAAATCAACAAAATTTTCAAAACTGAAAATTTTAAGTTGGACCCAGGTTGTTTTCACTACACATCCTCTGTAAATGCCAAGTGTTTTCCTGGCCATAGTGTCACCCCTGACTTGGGCATTATGTAGTCAGTGTTTCAAAATTAATATGTCTAAAATATGTTTGAAATTTTTCTCCAACCACGCTCCTCTACATCTCAGTACATTATCCCCACCTCATTCTTAAACTATAACACCAAGATTCCTATTCATTTCTCTTTCTTCTTATTGAATCCTTATTTATATGTATAGTTGATCTCTCAGCAAACCCTGATAACTCGCCTTTAATTAGTATGTCCCAGGCAAGGGATATGTCTCAACAAATAAACGCAATAGGTGAAAGCCTGGTGACCTGAGTTCAGTCCCCAGAACCCAGGTACAAAAGGTGCGCAGAGTGACCTGTATCTGTAATCCCAGCATTCCTTCAGGAAGATAGGGGGCAGAGACAGGAAAATGGACGAGAAGCTTCTGAGCCAAGTAGTCTGGAGTGCACAGAGCACCAGCAGAAACAAGAGATCCTTCCTCAATAAGGTGGAAGGAGGGCACAGAGTCCCCGGGTTGTCCTCCAGACTCTGCACTGGTGCTTTGATG